GTATAATAAATATACAAATGAATAATAAATAAAAAGTTAAAAAATGAGCTAAAAATAAATTTATTATAATTAGGGGAGGGTGAGGCATCATAAAAAGTTTGAGATGTGAAGGCTTTTTATGAGTTGTGACAACCATTTCTATCTGGTAAAATAGTTTCCAGGAAAAAAAGTTCTATTGAATTTTCTATAAAACATATGGCCTATAGAAATTTTATAGAGTTTCTGTTAACTTTTATAAAAATTTCTAGTGAAACTTTTTTTTCTACTTTTTTTATATAGAAAAAAAGGTTTTATAGTGATTCATATAGAAATTAATAGACATTCTGTAGAGTTTTTATAAGCCATATCTTCAAAAGTTTAAAGAAAATTCTATAGAGTGTTTTTTCCTGGGTTATTAATAGAGCTATGTTTTTTTCTTTTTTTTTTGCCCTGTAAATATACACAATCCGTATGTTAATAACAAAATATATACGTAGCAGGGGCAAAAAGAAGACTAATATGTCTTATTGCCAAGCCCCATGATAAATTTCATAAATATAAAGTTTGATTTAAAAATAATTACATTCTTTAACTATATAAAATAATCAAACGTAAGTTTGGTAAAGTAATGAATAAAAAATATATTATTAAAAAATAACTTAAACATAATCTTCTGAAAGCACAGAAATATTTAATTTTTATTTAATGAAAAATCATGAATTAATGTATACATATTTTTTTAAAATATTAAACTTTAGAACACAAAACAAAAGTCTAAGTATCAAAAAATAAAAAGAACAACAACGCATATTAAACATCAAACACATAAATAAATTTGAAAAGTTACCAAGAGCATTTAACTCAAGTTTTTCTAAAATTAATATACTTTTCATTTAATTGATAGATCAATCATAAGGGTGTTTGGCTGTTTCGGAAATAGGTTTTTGGTAAATCATTTTTTTGTAATAACTGTCTTTTAACATTCTAAGAGTTTTAAGTTAAGTTATTCTATGCCATTTGCTCTCTAATTAAAATTAAAAACTCAGTTGCCGCAAAATAACTTTTGGGTTTTATATCGGTGCTATTCAGTGGCGGATTAAGACTACTTGGGGCCTGGGGCTCTTTTTGTTTTTGAAGGCCATTTTATGGACCAGGGCCTAAAAATGACTAAAAAAAAAAAAAAAAGTCCTCTAAAATTTTAGGGGGCCCCTAAATTTGCGGGACCCGGGGCTAGAGCGCCCCATTGATCCGGCACTGGTGTTATTTGAATATCTAATTAAGTATCTATTCAGATTAGTTTAAAATAAGGAATTAAAAAATTTTGAAACAATACTTTTATTAATTTTGAACATAAAAAATTAGAAGATAATAAATATCTATTTGTTAGATATTTATTATATTAAACTTAAAAAAGTAAAAAATAATCGGCAGGCTTTATAACGGCTTTTATTAGTTATAATTCTAATTGCATGTTTTTACGTATTAAAGAATTTTTTAAATCTGTTTTTATTGGTACTACACCATGCAATGTTGGCGTAATTAAGATAGGAATGAATAAAGGAAAAATATAAGATATAATAAAGATTTTAATCAACTTTAATTTTAAAAAAGTTTTGCCCTATAAAATAGGCCAATGCTCCAATGATATTTTACTTTTAATATACTTTATCTCTCAATGTTGCATTTTCGTCAAGAAGTACTTCTTGATGATTAATGGTACTTCTCTTTTTATTTCGCAATTATTATTACTTTTTTTTTCCATATATTTTTTACAACTACATAGCTTTAACGATACATACTTTTATTACAAATAGTTTTAACAATATATACTTTTATTACAAATACAGTCAAAATGCTTTGAAAATAACTGAAATAATCTAAGATATATTTGATGTACAAAGTAATAAAATAATGTAAAATAGTTTTTCAGTTTATATTTTGAAAAGACAAAAAAAGTCTTAAAAAAGGAAAAATTAAACCTTTAGTTATGTAGTCAAGGAAAACTCGCAGAAAACTGTGTAAAGTCTTGTCATCGAGAACCCTTTTCTTAATCAATTTCACGAGATACTCATAAATATTTTATTCATTACTTATTATATTTTTCAATATAATTAGTCGTGTTTTTAGGAAGGAGCATAACATAAACTAGTATGTATACAAATAGTATAGCGTACTAAAGTAAGCAATCTGATGTCATACTGAAATAGCCTGCTGCTGGGGGCTTCAGTACATACATCAACTGAAAAATAGCCTGAATCGCAGTGGAGTGCTGCTACATCAACTGAGGGTTTGGGATGGGAAGCAATCGTTTTATTCATCATTCTTCGTTTTTTCTTCTTCTTTTTTACGAAAAAAACGGTATAGTTTAAGGTAAGCAGAAAAAGTGAGCAAATGCTTATCAAAACACGCTTTAGTAAGTGTATTTATATGTATATTCATACTTTTTTTTGTACATGATTTTGATATTTTAATTACTCATAAGTTATTGGAAAATTTCCATATAACTGCTTGTATTTAAGACAAATTTTTTAAGATAAGATTTTAAGGAATTTATATTTTTCAGGAGAGATAATGAGGAATTTTTTGGTATTAATTTGTTATACAAGTAAGGACCACGACATGCTATTGAGAATTGAGAGAGTTTTCTTTTTTTAAGGGGTACTATATAGTTTCCAGTTGCTCTAGTGCTAAATTTGTTTATATTAGTTTTAAAAAAGTTATTCATAAATCGACTTGGAATAATTCCCATTTTATGTTTGAACATAAACAAAATATTTTGATATATATTAATTTGGTAAATGTTTAAAGCATTCATCTGTTTTAGTAATGGGTTTGCGTGAGTAAGTTTGTTTTTATAAAAAATAATTCTTGAGGCGAGTTTCTGTCGTCTATAGAGTGAACTTAATTTAGTTTTATGGGTACTTGCCCATGCTATATTGGCATATGATAGATAGGTGTGTATAAAGGAAAAATAAAGAAGTCTTAAATTTTCGAACTATAAATAATTTCTTGCGTTATAGAGTAGACCAATGTTTTTTGAGACTTTTGTATTTATGGTATTTATGTGAGAGTTCCAAGATAAATTCTTGTCAAGAAGCACACCAAGAAATTTAAATGATTGAGTTCATTCAATAATTGTGTTGTCTATACTAAGAGTTGGTAAAATTGATGGGATAGCCTTTTTTGTTTTTGTTTGGGGTGAAATAAGATGTATTTAGTTTTGTTTAAGTTTAATGACAATTTGTTAGCTCTGAACCATGTGTTAAGTTTAATAAGTTCTAAGTTTGCGGTTATAAAGAGGTCACTGATTGAGCTAGAAGAATAAAATAGATGTGTCGTCTGCAAAAATTATGCAATCTAACTTAGATGAGACTTTAGGGAGGTCGTTGATATAAATTAAAAATAGAAGAGGAGCTAGAATAGATCCTTGAGGAACCCCACATTTGATTTTAGTTGTTTCGAGTTGTTATAGTGATCTATGGTAACACATTATTGTCTGTTGTCTAGGTAGTTGGCGAACCATTTTATAGTTTGATTTTTTATGCCATATTTTTCCATTTTTCTTAGTAGCATTGTGCGGTCTACTGTGTCAAACGCCTTTGTAAGATCAATAAAGACTCCTAATACAAATTTTCTATCATTAAAGAAATTATAATGTTATTAATGAGATCTAGGATAGCATGTTCCGTTGAATGCTGCGTTTGAAACCCGTATTGATTTTTACTGAAGATTTTGTGTTCTATTAAATATTTATGTCACCGATGCAGAATAATCTTTTTTGTTCATTATTACTTTTGATTAAAATTCGTTGCATATAATTTGAAAACTGAATAACATCGCCGTCAGGTGATCTATAACAAATAGAAGCAACAACGTTTTTTGTATTTTTAATTATTATCTCAATTGTTAGGACCTCACTATCTGAATTAGAGATCGAGAGGTCTTTTCTAATTTTGATATCGTGGTCATTACGAATGTAAACTAAAATTCCGCCTCCCCTTTTGAGCGTTTTTCTCTCAGATGAAATTATTTTATAATTAGGAATCTGAAAATTTGAATTTTTTTGAGCAGACTCATCATCACACCATGATTCTATGAGACAAATCATGTTAAATAAAAAATTGGATTCTAAAAGAAAGTGTTTTAGTTTGTCTATATTTAAACTTAAACTTCTAATATTGATGTGTATCACCGTGAAATTTTTTATATATGTTTTTAATCGCGTTTTAAAAGTTTCAGTATCATAATATTGCAAATTAAAATCTAATTTTTTAAAAACCTGTTTATCTGCGTCATAAAAGTCGTGAAGTAAAATGTTGTTATCAGTCGTTGAGTAAAATGTTGTTATCAATTGTTTGGTTTCAAAGTCAATTGTTTTGTAAGCCATTGCGCATGATTAAGAGTTTATTTTTATAAAAATGAGGTTAAGCATTTAAGTTATTTCCGAAACTCTCGTACAAAAATTTTATCATATTTGATAACTGCAAATTTACCTTCTTTTCGGTGTCTTTTTATTTCTTCCCAAAGCTTTTTTCGTTTTTCTAAGGTTTCATTTGCGTAATCTTCATTTATGAATACTCCACTGTCCTTAAGTTTTTTTGCTAAAGATAATATTTTGCTTTTTTCATGAAAATTTAAAAGTTTGAGAATTATCGTTCGCGGCTTGTCTTCTTTTACTTGTCCTACTCGATGGGTTCTCTCAACTACTATGTCCTCTGCAATTCCCAATTGGTTTTTAAAGATATTTTTTACTATGCTAACACAGTCATTCCATGTTTCAGAGTTAGATTCGGATACTCCGTCAATTCTTAGATTGTTACGACGTGATCTGTTTTCCAAATCTATAGTCTTCTTTTTTAATATACTAATTTCATCATTAGTATATTAAAAAAGTGTCATAGTATTGGCTCATTTGTGCTAGTTTGTTTGTGAAGTTATTTATATTAAGATTTGGAAGTTTTGACGGAATTACGTCTTGCTCATGATAGCGATAGTAAAAATTATATTTAGTTTTAGTTTTA